AAGATAAACTATAATTAATTCCTATAAACAATTAACAATCATTCATCAACATGTAAATTTGATAATTAAATTCAAGATAAAACTGAATTTCTTACTGTCATGCCCCAGAACCCAAATCCGAGGGCGTGACAGACGCCGTGCACTCGTGAGAGGGTCCCACAAATGCACAAGGCTCGAAACTTACTGAGTTCATACTTAGCAATTCTGGTAATTCAGATCTAAGCCTTTTTAATTACCAACTATATACCAGTCAGATGTACAAGATTTATCATTTCATGTATACAGTCATGACTAGCACTAAATTCTGTACACAAAATTTTCTATGTCAAGCATGGGTGACTAACGGCTTAGCTACAAAAACCTAAATCCAAAAGTGCCTAGCCGTCTAGCTCATCACTCCCCCGGGCTTCCCACGCGTCGGGTCTCACTACCTGAAATGGTGGACAAGGAAAAACTATGAGATAAAATATCCTAGTAAGTAAAACATGGAGTGCCCTCATTAACTTATAGCATGCCAACAAGTGTAATCACAAAAATGGGTACAATACGGGAACGAAATAGACGTTTCCTCTATAGGTCATGGCCAGTGTATTAAACTTCCCACTGGCAGGCTACACTTGAACGAACCGGTTCTATCAATAACATGTCGACATGTGCTAGCGTTTAACCCCCACTAGCAGGATTACAATCAATAACATAACCATATCGGAGACAAAACAGGCAGAAGTTCACAGAAAATCATTCTTTACCAATCACTTTCAAATCATTAGGACAATCAATCAAATTTCAAGTAGGCATGCTCAATTTAATGAAAAGCATAAAAATTTCATTTCAAATCAATCATACTTACTTTTGTATAAAACGGGTTTAGTCCCGCCACCACTTCAAAAACAAATCAAAACATGCTTTTAAAACAGTATGGGCATTACCATAAATTTACTTACCTTAATCACACAGGACGGAAGGCCTAATCCAAGTGCTAAGGCCACAGGACAATCAAGGACCTAATCACAATATTCCCAAATTAATATCTATGTATATACAATTACACAATTATACATATACAATTTCTCAAACTAATGGACAGGATTGGGAGAACCGGCCTTGACAAAAAGGCCAATTCACAGAATTTTCCCCTTTTTCTCTCGGACATCACACAACAATCAAACCCACTAATTTCCTACACCAATCATCAACCAAAACCCATTTTCCAATTGCCAAAACTCATCCCCCACCTCCGGCATCTTGGTCCTTGACAACCCAAACACCCACACAACTAATTAAGCTCAGAAGCAACAATTAACCCACCAATTTTCAAGGATTAGGGAAGCCAACTTACCAAAAATCCCCCAACAAGCAAAGTTGGAGCTGGCGGGATGAGGAAGTGCCGGCGGGAAAAATGGCAGGGGAGCTTCACGCAGACTTCTAGCAATTGGAAGAAAGGAGAATTAGAGTAACTCACACAAACTAAAGCTGAAAAGAGGAATTTATGGGCTGGTTTTACCAGGAAGGAAACCAGCAGCAGTCGGCAGCAAAGGGGGAGGAAACAGAGCAGATCCGGCGACTTTTCAATTTTTGTAGATGGGGACGCTGGAAATGCTGGTGATGTTCGGCAGCAGCAGGGAGAAGAAAACAGAGCAGACGCGAAAAATGGCTGGAAGAAAGAAGGAAAGAAAAGAAAAAGGAAAAAGAGATGAGTCAGCCGGCCTTATCCAATAAGAGTTTAACCCCTTTAAAGTTTGAAAATTTGACAGTTAGGTCCATTAATAATGTTTCTTCATCATTAAGTCCCTAACTCAACTTAATATGCTTGAAATTTTTTGGGGTATTACACTTACCCACTGGGAAACAAATGCTGCTCTATTTTGCTTCGAAGAGTAAATGTTTTGCTACTGTTGCTGCTTTGTTCGATGGATGAAGGAGAGGTTGTTTCTACCCACTGGGAAAGAGAGGAAGGTGAGCAGCAGATGCTACGCTGTTCGGTGCTACAGTTTTGTTTGGTGCTGCTACTCTATTTGGTGAATAAGCTATTGTTGTTCAATGGTCGGTAAGGAAGATGAGTCACGAAGGGTTGGAAGGGGCTGCTGATGGTGGTGGTTGAGAGCATATGCAGATTTGTTTTACTGTCGTCGCTCTGTTCTATGCTGCTACTTTGTTTGATGTTGTTGAAGCTGCTGTTGTTCGGTGGAGGAAGGGAAGGAAGATGAGTCGCAAAGGGCTGGAAAGGGTTGTCAACGGTGGTGGTTGGGGGCAGGGAGGTCAGTGGAGGAAGGAGATTTGTTCTGTTTCGGTGTCTCTAAGTTTGAACTTTCTTCTTCTTTCTATTTTCTACCGTGTTTGTTCTTGGGCTGCCGACTGCTATGGTTTTTTTTTCTTTTCTCAATTTTGATCTTCTATTAGGGTTTTTTTTTTTTAATTTAATTTAAATTGAAATTTAAGGATTTGTTATGTAATAATATTAGAAAGGTGGGTAAAATAGGTATATTGCCTTTAAAATGGAAAAAAATGGGTCAATTGTAGAGAGGAGGTGCAGCACGACAGGTTGATTGGGTGGAATGGGCCAAGCGGGTTGAGTGAGCCAACCGGGTTGGAGTAGGTCAAATAGCAAGACGAGTTGAGGGATGCATCTGGCTTGTTTTCAAACCTAGGTCTAGTTGAACCGATTCAACCCGTTGGACTGGATCGAGTCCAAAAACAGTGTTACCATCCCTATTTGCAATAACTCAACTAGGCAATGGTTATAGTTATGCTCAAATTTGTTATGGCTACATAAAGGGTCAGATTTTAACTTTAATTTAGCTTTTAAAAATGATTTATGGTGGATAACATAGTTAATAATAATTAATCAAATAATTAATTTTTATTATTTAACTAATTAAAATTAATTTATAAATAAATATTTCTAAATGTTATTACTAACTATTTAAAAAGAAAAATTAAAACCATAAAGCAATAAAATAGCACTCAAAGTGTGTTGTTTAACAAAGCTGTGTGTAGCTACTTCACAACGCCAGTATTAGGGGTGTGGTTATAACCGTTTACCATTTGTTAAAATCATAAAAAATTATTTAATTTAATTAATGTTTTATTTATTTATAAATTTTTTAAAATAATTAATTATAA